GGCACACAAACCCTTTGTATTTAAGCTCACTCAGATATGGTTATCCTCTTGGGTAGGTTTGTCGGTTTTGACATTCCATAGAGGTATTTCTGATAAGCACTCAGTCCCTCCTAAAATATTACGTTATGCACATAAGATCACAATGGATGATCAAAAATATTATTTCATTAAAGCACAATGATCAGATAAAAAATTGATCAAGTAATTTGGCTTTAAGCACGATCAAAAAAGAATGAAGCGACAAAAATTCGATTATTTGAAATGTATGAGAGAAAAGAATGAAGATCTGTAAGAACAAGTTTACAGATTCTGATATTAAAAAATGTATATGAATCAGAGTAAAAAAAATATCAGAAAAACAAAGTTGAATACAAACGAGTGTATTATCACCGAAAATGATTTTCGTATAAGAGACGTGATAATAACAATTTGAAGAATAGCTGAAACAGGTATTGGAGTTATGTACGATGAGAAATTATGCAAGTAAAATCTCAAGAAATACCTGTTCAGAGAATGTACTCGTTATTCCCAAAAAAAATTTCAGATTCCAAAAATCAATTATTAAAATGTTCTAGGAAACTCCCCCTAGAAAATAGATTTAAGTAATGAAACTTTTAAGCTCAAAAATGAAAAAGAAAACATTTTATGCACGGGTTCTAAACTGGGTGTTTAGAAACCACACTCGATAAAGCACGGGTTCTGAACTGAAATGTTCAGAAGCCTTTATTGTTAAGCTCGGGTCCTAAACTGGATGTTTAGAAACCTTTATTTGAAATTAGTCACAACTCCCCCTGCATCGGTGTATCATTGGAATGATATTCTGATCAGCATAAGCTTGACACACCTGCAAAACCAAATCAAGTAGATTTTGGTACCCAAACGAACTTGGGTCCTAATTTGTTAGAATTTGGTTGGGGTATGTTGTAACTTCCAAACCATTTATTTCCATAAGATATTTTCTTTTCAGCACTTTTAGAAACATAAGAAAGCATAGAATGCATGAAATGGTATGGTCTAAAAGAAGTAAAAGACTGAAATAATTCATTTACTCTACTCGGAGAACAACAATTTTTACTATTTCCAATATCAAATAATTCATCAACTGAATATCTTGTTACAGAACTATTCAATTTCGAATCATTTAATACGGATTTAGTAAAATTATTCTTCTTCAGTTGAGTAGATGATTTAACTTCTTCTTTTACTCTCCAATACTGTTTAACCTTCAACGAATTATCTGAATAAGGAAAAAGAAAATTATCAGTTTTACTTGAATTTCGAACTTTCTTTTTCTTTGTAAGCTTCTTTTGCTGTTTCCTTGGATTCTTTTTGGTTTTAATCTTTTTATAGTAAACTTCCTCGGAAACAGGTTTTTGATTAAAACTATTTTGAAAATCTGAAGGTAAGTCAGAATTCTCAGTCATATTGGTTTTAGCAATAAATTCTTCATGACTGGGTAAATTATTTGTAATATCAAACTTATCAACTTCATCGTCTAAACAAACATCTGAATTT